CCCAGTCAATATGAGAATAGCAGAAATCCACCATTATTATTGAGTTGTCTATTTGTATAGCATCTCATCTCCCAGAGCATTTCATAGTCTCCATCCTGGTCAGGTTGTCGGTAGCATATTCCTACTGCTATGCTCTTATTATTCAAGCATGGAATTTCTATCCATACAGATTCTATGGTACAGTTTGATTCATTTAAGATTTTTACTATATTTGACTCTATGCTTTCTTTCACATATAGTGCCACTCCTTCGCCAGCACAAGCTACTCTGTCACTCCTAATATTTTGTATGTAAGAGGGAGGTGGAGAGGGATTACAAACTCATATTGGCATTTGGAACCTATAAAAAAATAGAAGCCAGCTGCCTTAAGCATCTCACCCTCTTCTTGTTTTCTAGCTGTGATAGCAGGTAATTGTTGTAAGTTTACTTATTTTAGTAGCACCTAAAGCATCATTTCTGGCTCTTCCTCACCCATAGTCTGACCAAAATTTCTCATTTCTTTTATATCATGGTTTAAGGGCTAAGGCTTGCCTGAGTGAGAATGCAGGGCATTGACTTAACCCCTGCAGTCCCGTCCACCATTTTCTTCCTTTATAATGCAGTCCTCCCTCCGTACAGCAACAGCTATGTTGCAACATTTACTCATGGCCAAAGAGTTGGACAACCTCTTGCTGTTCAAAAAGCATAACGTTATCATAACAAGCTTCTGGATTCTTCAAGTCGGTAAACTTTGTATCCTTCTCAAGAGGTAGCAAATCCATTCTTTCACCACATGAAGAATTCTGAATGTAGATTCAAATGTAGATCTTGTGTGTGGTTACACATTGTGCTGCCAGACTGCTGGAGCTGTCTGGATTTAAACAGTTCCTTTAAATGGTGAAGATATTCAAGTATTTCTGTTTTCAGTATTCTAGATTGTGCTAATAATACGGGGTGAAATCCTAGCCATACTGAAGACAATGGAAGTTTTGCCATTAACTTTAATGGAGCTAGAATTTCACTCATGGTGTAGAGATGTCTTTATAGGTACAGCATAAAGTGAAAAATAAGGCATAGTATAATAAATTACAAGCAAAGTATATTATATTTAAGTGTTCCGGAGTTGTATATTGAGAAATCAATGAACTTTTGTCTGAAGGGCCATAGAATATACAACTAAAGTTTTCCAGAAGTACTGTGTTATTTCTGATAACTATGAAACTATATATATCTATATATCTATACACATACATACACACACACACACACACCTCTACCCCGATATAACGTGACCCTATATAACATGAATTCAGATATAACACAGTAAAGCAGCACTCGGGGGAGGGGGGGACTGCACACTCTGGTGGATCAAAGCAAGTTCAATATAATACAGTTTCACCTATAACGCGGTAAGATTTTTTGGCTCCCGAGGTACAGCGTTATATCAGGGTAGAAGTGTGGATTTTATATATATATAAAATCAACCAAAATTTTTGCACTTGGAAGTCTGACTAAGAAACTGGTGATTCTGAAGCTGCAGAGTGAATTACTGTAAAAGGTTTATTACTAGATTGTGAAACAAACTCAATTC